TCATCTTCTGCTATAGCTGCATGGCTATGCTTGAACAAAAATACTGTTTTAATATGATTATTGTGTACTTTGAAATTGACTCGTTAAATTACTTTTATTTATTTATTTATAAAAATGTATTGTTATAATTCTTAGCAATGCATTCACTTTCCTTACTTGAACTAGGCCCAAATCTTATTGGACCTGTTAACTTGAAGAAAAGATTTGATTAGAAAAGTAACCTTGAAAGAAACTCGTGATTGAAAAGGATTTCGGCAGTAAAAGGGCGTCCCGCATGTGTGCATGTGATGAGAGAGACACAGAAAAAGGTGTATGGAATGGAACTCAGAAGCAGTGAAAACCACACGGTGCTATACGAAGTCGTAGGAACATTTTGAGAAGGTACTGCCACTTTCTTCCCCAATCAATCCCCATCTCATCTTTGTTCTTTGTTCAGTATGTACTCTCGTCTTCGGTTACTTAACTTGCATCAGAGTTCAAAAAACTTTCCTTGGGTTTAACTCATAGTAAATATCTACTTTTTGGTTGTTGGGTACAAGTAAAAATTTGAACTTTTCACTTTTGGCTGTCCATCTTCTCAGTCGCTGCTGTTATGTTGTTTTTTCTTTTTGTCCCGCAGTTTAACTTTATGTTATGTTTGAAATAAAAAAGATAAAACGTAGGTGAAGTGGAATTAATATTTGCACATGCGGCACCACAGTGGAAAAGTGGACGAAACTTTTCCTTTGGCCAAGTGTATCCGGGTTCGATTCACGTTGGAGACTCTTGAGGCAACCCAATATAATACTTACCCTTTCCCCTCCCTCCCTAACGAATGAACAAAAGAAGAAGTGGAATTAATATTTATTGGTCCTGTACTAGTGCTAGGACTTTGATTTTAGATAGTTGTATCCTGATGGAGCAGACACCTGCAAAACTACAAGTACTGAGTAGGGGCGAAATTATGTTTCAAGAACATTGCAATCTGCAAGCCTCTATTTGAAAAACCAGTCAGTTTTTATTTTACTACCTTGTTTAATTTCGTAATTTTATTTATTGTTTAATTTAATTATTAGTGTAATACTGATTGTTCTTCATCCAACTTGTGTTTGCGTTTGTGTTTGTGCTATGTGATTTCAACTCAACTATTTCTTATACAAGTTACACAGTTACACTTAGTGAAGAATAAATATCTCTGGTGGTGGTGGACAAGAATTTTACATGTCGCATAGATACTGTTGTGCACTTGTAAGTCTTAACAAGTGGTCTCAGAGTGTGTTCCCTTGAGGTTCAGATTACTTGTTATTCACCATTTGGGTAGACAAGTGTAAAGACAGACAACACCGAAGGCACCCTGAGAAAATAAATGAATCGTGTGACTACTGCCCATCTTAGAGAGAACATAAAAGACCTTCGGAAGCATCTCAAGCAGCAAATGCAAGCTAACATTGTTCCTAGAGAGAGAAGCAGAAGATCAAGAGAACCTGCAATGGTGACAATAATTCAGTTGTGTTGTGTAACAGTTTGATTTGATCCTCTTGACATGAGCACTGAAAGGCAAAGAGACCAACGGATGCATGCAAATTGGCACATTGAAATTGAACACCACGAATTTGGGTAAATTGGTGGCTGACCCCAAACAAAACTAAATTCTTACAATTCACTTTCTTGGACATGACCTTTGGCCTTGTTTATATTAAAAGAAAAGACTTATGTTAAAAGTGTAACTTTGCACTTTAATGGACATGACCACCTAAAATTAGAGTTATTTTATTTAGGTCAAATCACTTCGTTGGTTCTTGTGGTTCAGCTAATTTTCACTTTGGTCCTTGTTATTTTAATGTTTGCAATTGTGGTCTTGTCATTCTATTTAGTTAACAATCAAGTCCTACATGTCTAAAATTGTTAAGAAAAATTGACGAGATTGCACTTGTTTTGGAGAGACAAAAGTAACCTCATATGTCGTTGTTGCATATTGCCACATCGAATGTCACTTATTAATTTGACAAAGTTGATGGTTTGGACTTGATTGCAAACTAAATCAATATAAATGACTAAAATGTGAAAATCAAAATGGCATGGACCAAATTAAAAACAAGTCAACTTTCCAAAGAAGAAAAATATAATTTGGCCTTTTATTTAATAGAAAATTTAGCGATACTTCAACATCTTTGTGTGAGAGGCTTTGAGGTCTCCTAAATAATAATTGTAAAACTCACAAACATTTATTTGCATGATATTATTTATGGGTTTTTTTTTTTGGAAAAGATTTATGGGTTGATTTTTGTTAGAGGTGAAAAGTATGAAAGGTAGTGGACCCTTTTTTTTGGGCTTTATTTTATTTTTTTGAAATGCAGACATTTGGGTAGGGGGCACTTTTCTTGGGATTTAAAGTGGTGACCAAGAGGGAGGGGGAGGGACCTCACCACTGAGGTAAACCCCTCGATCGAAAGGTAGTAGACGTTAATTAGGTTATTTGGTCAGAATAGTAAGCTCGTTCCTTGCATACAAGTTCAAATCTTCTTTTTAATGAATTAGAGTAATTTCAACTATCGCTTTTATTAACAAAAGATAAGAACAAGTAACAACCCATGACCTTATCGAAAAAAAAAATCATGATGACTATGTGTCACCAAACTGTTGCATGCCTTTAAAGCAAGTAAACATGTCAAGTGTCTCTACACAGTAGTTTATAACTCAGCAGTGAAAAGCACGCTCCATTTTCTGATTCTCTACTTCCGAACTCCCTCCTTCCCACCTCGTCCCTTCCGCCCAAAAAAACCCAGAACCCGAAACCCAAAACCCAAAACCCAAAACCCGAAACGCGAAAACCGAAAACAGTAGCATCAAATTTTTTTCACAGTACCTAAAAGCAATTCCGAGTTCCCAACCACTGAAGCTTTTTATTCACTGCTAGACGACGTCGTCGGAGCAATAAGAGAAGGTACTGCCACTTTCTTCCCCAATTTCTCACAATCCCTAGCTCATCTTTGTTCTTTGTTCAATATATGCATCTCTCTTGTCTTCGCTTACTTAGCTTTCATCAGAGTTCAGAAACTTTCCTTGGGTTTAATTGATAGTAAATATTTACTTTTTTTTGTTGGGTACAAGTAAAAATTTGAACTTTTTTTCTTTTGTTGGTCTATCTTCTCAATTACTGCTTGTTATGTTGTTTTTTGTTCCGCAGTTTCTGTTATGTTTGAAAAAAAAAGATACAACGAATAAAGAAGAAACTGTGGTACGCTGAGGTGAAGTGGAATTAATGTTTATTTATGGAAAAGTTTTAAACTTCTTAATGTCTAATTTCTTTCTATGCACTTTTTATTTTCTAAAAAAAAATTATTAGTATTTCTCAGCAACCAGGTGGAAATTTAGGGTTTATTTATTAATTATATTTTAAAGTATGGTTTTTATGAACTTTGGTTTTAAATGCGTAAGATTATTTTTGGTTCTGTATGGCGATTGTGATACAATTCCATTGCCTGCTGCTATTCAGGTTTCTGCTTGACTTGTAAGCCGGAACTATCTAGTGCCTGAGTTTTAATTTGTTTGTTGCTGTCTTTTTATTTCCATTAGTGCAGCCGCTAAGTTCAGTTACTTGTGTACAATCAGTGTCACTATCATTGTGCATTTTGGTTCACTAGCATCTGTTGTAGCTTACAATGCTTTTTCCTATTTCTTTTGTTGTCTTTTTGTTGACAGTTAGCAATCATGCTTATCCATTTGAGTGATTTTCTGCTTTTGAAGCAGTCACTTTTTGATGATTAGGAATTGGGTTTGTGAGAAAATCATAAGTGGGGTATAGTGTCGTCTGACTTGCTTCTGCAGTGGTCCCAGAGCATTCTGATAACTTGGTTGCTCATACTGAGTTTATAGCAGAGGCTAGCCTGTATTCTTAGGCGATTTATCAATGTAGTAGTGTTCACATAATGGGAGCCTTGTGAGGGAACAATTGAAGTTAAACCACACCATGAGAATAATGGGTACTTCTTACATGACTGTGTTATATAACGTTTTCTTTGGGATATTGAGATAGTGGCTGTACAAGGGTTTTCTTTGTGTTTGTGTTTGTGCTGTGTGATTTAACTCTATTGTGTCTTCTACTATTTATATATGTAGACAAGAATTTTGTGAATTACATAAATCATCTGGTGCAATTTTCATTCTCGTTAGTTGGTGTTCAAGGGTTTTCTTTGTATTTGTGTTATGTGATTTTAACTCAACTATGTTTTATACAAGTTATACAGTTACAATTTAGTGAATAATATGTATCTCTGGTGGACGTGGACACGAATTTTCCATATCACATACATATTGTGCTTACAAACTTCTTTCTCATTCATCTATTTCTTTCCATTAGGAACCGTTGAGTGGTCATTCTTTTGAATCTCAGTTTGCACTTGTAAGTCCTAACAAGTGGTCTCAGAGTGGGTTCCCTTGAGGTTCTGATTACTTGTTATTCACCACTTGGTAGAGAAGTGTTAAGATAGACGACACCAAAGTCAGCTCAAGAAAATAATTGAATCGTGTGTATTGCCCATCTTGAAAAATGTTGTATTTGATGTCCTAGCTCCGCTTCTCCCGAAACCCACAGAATATTCAGCAAGAAAATCAGCCCATGAAAAACTACTCATTATCCAAGATTTACTTGTAAAACATTCCTTTTTCTTCCATTTTCAGTTAGTATTCATTCTTGGACTCAATGTTGCAAGTAATGCACTATTACATAATTAGTGGATTTTTCATTTGTTGTCCAGAATTTTTTTGTTTTTGTATGGGTAAAAGTTTGTTATTTAAAGGTAGAAATCAATATATTGAGGCTTCTGTACAGGATATACTTGCTAAGTCTTATTATTTAAACTTTAAAAAGCACAGAAGTTTGATATGTAATTTAAATTCTATCATGTTTGGCATCAATTTTCTTTTTAAAACTCACTAGAAAGCCTTACTCTTGCTGTAGGGAGGGGAGTTTTGGTAGAATTTGTGGGAAGAGCAAGAGAGTTTGCTAAAAGTACCTGAAGATGAGCCAAGCTGATCAAGGGAACAACCCTGATGCCTCGTCAAACATCCATGTGAAGCGCAAACGTGGCCGTCCACGGAAATATCCAAAACTAAATCTGGAAGAGGATACTCGTGTGCCAAATGCTCAGAATCTGAACTCACGTGTGAATGCTGGTATTGGTATTCCTCCTGTTCCTCCTGGATTTGATGGGAGGAACGAATACCAGTCCCATCATGTAGCTCCAAATAATAGTACAACTGATGTCATGGTGGGAACAGTAGTTTCTGGTGTCATTGATGGAGCTTTTGATGGAGGATATTTACTTAGTGTTAGGGTTGGCAACTCTCACACCACTTTGAGGGGCGTTGTCTTCAAGCCTGGACGTTACACTTCTGTCTCAGCAGAGAATGATGTGGCCCCAGATGTTCAAATGATCAGGCGAAATGCAATTCCCATTCCAGCTGAGATTTACTCTCATGCACATGGTCAGAAATCTCGTTCTAGAGATGTCATCCGCTCTGTTCATCACGTGGCTTCAAAAGGCAAACATGTGCCCCCTGTGGCAGCCCAAACTGTTAATCCACTATTGTCCAGAGGAAACTTGTTGCCTGTTATACTGCAACCTCGTAATATATCTAATGGGGTACCACTCATCGGTTCATCAACTTCTGTTGCTCCTCCGAAAAATGAGTCGATACCCACTAACCAGGTGCCACTCACCAGTGAGCCAACTTCTGTCGCACCCCAAGCTGCAGATCTGGCAACTTCAAGAGTTAAACAGGTGCGGTCAGTTCCTCCATCAAATGGGTCGATACCCTCCAACCAGATGCCAATAGTTGGAAATCAGTCTTCAGTGTTCGAAGGTGAACAAAATGATGATGGTACTTGTAATCAACCACCAACAGAGACGCTAATTCAGGAAGAAGCCAAATCAATGAGACTCCCAGATATACCTTTTGAAAAATTGGTTACTGAGGTAGTTAAAAGGATTGATAACCCCTCACAAGCCACCTTACAATCAACTGAGATTCACATTGAGGGTAGCAAGTCAACTGGCAATGAGATGGAGAACGATATGGATCAACCCCTAGTAATTGAGCCTCTGCAAGCCATACAGCCGAAAGGCCACTCTACACCAGTTTCAAAACCACTGGAGGACAGTAGAAATGGCAAAATGTCTGAGCTGTTGCAGGTAAAACCAATCTTTAACATTCTCATTAAGCAATTTAGTAGTTAACGTTATTGCTGACATAGACGCTGATTTAAACATCTCAACGAGTTTCTTTCTTTTCTTTTGGCTGGAACATCAACAAGGTTTTGCAGGAAAGCATGAGGGAGAGAGAGGAGCCACAGGCTGAAGTGTCAACCACAGGTCCCAGACAGAAGTTGGATGAACCAAGTTAACCCGTGCTCAGAAATAAAATCTGGTTGTTCATGAAAACCTTCTTAGGCTTCAAGTGTCTGATTTTCTAGTTGCCACCTTGAATGGGTATTGTGTGCATGCTTTGCTGATGGACATAAAGGCTTTGCATGATGGGGTAATCAGACCTTTGTGTAGAAGGGTTGTTTTCTTAAAGTAGGAACTGAGGAAGATCTGTTTGACTTTTGTTTATAGCTTATTTGACTGTGATAACTTGTTAGAAATGTCCCTGCTTATGTGTTCGAAGTACTGTCATGTAAAATATAATTATTAACATCATATTTTTGTTTTGGTGAATAAAGGAGTTTACTAACCCAAAACAGAGGAGCAAAGGCAAGTACACCAAAGCCGAAAGGTATAGGGAACAAGAGAACAAACTCAACAGGCTTAGCAAACACCAGGAGAAAACCAAACCAAGCAAGCGGGAAACCAACCAATATTAAGACCAGAGACATTATTCAAAGCTCAACAAAACCATGAAACCAAATCTAATGGATCGAATCACAATCAGAGAAGGATTGGTTCCATCACACTATGTTTGGGCTATCTGCTCAAGAAAAAAAATGTTTGGGCTACATCATCCCAAACATCCTTAGCAGTTCAAGGTGGAAAGCAAAGAACCTACTACAGTAGGGGTTACGGTTGCACCACTTACTTCGAATGGGAAAAAACTTGGCTCCTCAAAACAAGTTTGGACACATGTAATTCTTTTTAACTTTTTTTTTCTTTTTAATCTTTTAACTCTTGTCTTTTGGAATTTAAGATGTGTTAAAATCCTATTTGTTGTGAGGAAGAGTTCCTCCTCAGTTTTAAGGAGCCAAGCAATACTCCTACGACTATGCAGGATCAGTTGCAGATGGTTGAGGGAAGAATTAGTGGGAGAATATAACCTTATGATCGTTGTTGTTGCTTATCGTCTGAAGTTCAAATGAAATAGGACATGGAAAATAGCCAAAGTTTGGGGGGTTAAGTATGGGCAAGAACTTTGGTAGATAAAAGTATCTTCTGGGATGATGTTTCGTTACGAATATGGGTACTTCCAGTTAGATTTGATCTATAGAACATGGGTAATCTGAGGTAATATTGTCAATTTATAGCAAGTGGGCATCGAAATAGTAGTTTAAGATTACGGTAAGAAAAAACAACTAAGGTAGAGGAAAAACAGTAGATTACGTCAAGAAAGAAGGTAAGACCAACCGAACAATGATGAGCCAGAGAGTAGGGAAAGCTGGCAGATGGGTTTAGCTGATGACAACAGTAGTAGTGAGAAACAAGATTGTAAATTTTTTTATGGCAACCTCGCTTTGATGCCATGCAGAAAGTTTAAGTTGGAAAATCATTTTATGATATTTGTTCTTCTCCTCAAGGGAGGTATTTAACACTTACATAAAATTATAAGGAAAATGAAATTTATAAATCTTAGAGATACAAGAAGGGATTTTTACTTGTTTCCTCTTTTAGGCGAAGGCATCGGTTTTTTTATTTATTTATTTTAAATTACTGGTGGTGTGTTTACAGGTTTTTGCTATGCATTTTCTCCTCGTCCGGTCTCAACCACTATCATCGGCTCCTGACTTCACGGATGTCTCTTCCGTCGTTTACCCTCAATAGCACTTATGGAGTTGGGATGAACTTAAAGTGCAAATGGCACTTATTGCTTGGATTATAGTAGCGCTACTGGTTGTAGCATGGGTGGCTTGCCCACAACCATTTTCTGTTGGTTACCGGTTTCTCTTTGGTGGTTGTCGACTTGCTTTGGTGGCACGGCTTGTGGCTGTTGGATTGTGCGACACATATATGTTATTTGTGTTACAATTACCTAATGTGTTTTTTGGGCCATTGTCTTTTATGGGCTTTTTGCCTTTATGTGGGTTTTATGCCTCTATGTGTGCTTATGAATTTTGTAAGTTTTATGACTGTAGTGGATTCGATGCATGTTTGTGTTGCATTTGGTGTGAACTCAATTTTTTGAGTTCATTTTGGTATAACTAGCTTTGACCTTTTATTTCATGAAACTTAATTCCGACAAAAAAAAATTTTAAAACAATCAATATGGTCCTCACATCAATTTGGTCATGTGACCAACTTTAAAGACATTTTTTTTTCTTTTCAAAATACAACCTATCAACCTAAGAGACAAAATAAGATAATGTCTTTTGTTCAGTAAGGTCATTTGATCCCCTTGATGATGGAATCCCAATGTGAAATCGTAAATATAAAGCATTAACATTGTTGAGCAAAAGACGTGAGTTTTATTATGTCTCTTGGGTGGATGAATTATATTTTGATAAATATATCCTTTTAGGTTGTCATGCGACCAATTTTAACAAAAGTTTTGATGAATTTGTGGATAAAAAAAACTAGGTACCATACCAATTTTATTTTTCTAATAAGAATTTAAAATGTTATAATAGCTCAAATTACAAATATGTCCACCCGATGTCCAAGACTTAACAATTTTACTAAAGAAATTAACGGAATGAGGTAATGTGAGACAAAATGTAAGTATAGGGTGGAAATTGAGTAAGATGAAAGTTCATGGGGCATAGTGAGATGATAAGCAAAGCACAGGGGACATATCAATACATAAGCCTAAAAAAATGTAGGACTATAGATATTCATAAATCCAATATTTATTTATGTCAGATTTGGCCTAATGTGATATAGTGATTTTCCGTTTTATACATGGATGGACGCAAACTTTCAAAATGAAATGAGTTAGATTTACCTTACGATTGAATTTTTAGGTTTTGGATTGAGGACAACTACTCACTGCTATGTGTCATGTTGGACGGTTACATATTGCATACTTCAACCAAATCTGCTCCAAAAGGAATCAAGACAACTCTCAATTAAATGTAGTCTAACCTCTCTTACTTTTTTAAGAAAACATTTTCTATTGAGAGGTGAGAGAGTATATTAAAGTCACACGCATTACACGGATGTTAAGATCTTTTCTGGGAGAATAATTGTTCCAAACCACTACAGTAGTAGGTGATTTGTAACATCTCTTATTTAAAGTAATCAATGACAACTCGCTATTTTTTTTTAATATAACAATATTAGTGGCACCACCACATTCTTTTTTTCTTAATATTACTTGATAAGGTAAAACTCTTAAGCAACTGTCTTGTAGAGGTTAGCTTACTTCCTACGGTTAAGCATTTAGCTTAAAAACAACATTTATTTGAGGATTTTAAATACTTTTCGTGCATATATAAATATGTTTTTTAGGCATAGGAACTACTTTATGTTGGAAAATTGACTGTACTGCTTCAGGCAGAAGCGAAATCAATGAGACTACCGGACATGGCTTTTGAAAAATTGGTCACTGAGGTAGTCAAAAGAATTCACGATCCTTCACAAGGCCCCTCCTTAGTGAGACTAAGATTGAAGCATTGAGTATCAGATTTTATGGTTGCCGCTGTACAATTACATGATTTGGTAGAACTTGACAATTGTGTAGAATGATTGTGTGCTTGGCGGTTTCAGGATTCAAAAGTCAGTTGGACAAAACTTATATACTAAACTCGACGGTACGAGTGAATTTCATTAACAAACATAAAAAGATACACCTAGTCATGTGGGACATAATGAGCCTTACTCTCAAATGCATCTCTATCCATAAATTAACGTTCTACAAATACAAAAGTTAAAAACTGGAGACTCATAATGGGAGACTCAGGAAGATTTTGCTCTTCACATATTAGAGTAGATAAAGAAGTGCTAGAAGACAATGTACTAGATGATGACCCATCATTCTTTTTCTTAAAAAAAGACAACAAATTCTTTGTTCTCTCAAGATTCTGATTGTGATCCGACAAAATAAAAGATAGCCTATGAATAATATGTAGAAAGAATTTTAATCAAACATACCAAAAAAAAAATCACACAAATTCTCATAATAGCATCTCAACAATACCAAACCAAAAATTATAATCCATCCATAATTAAACCATAGAATACTCAATTTTAACAAAATCCCAAATTAAAGCCCTACAATAATTCATCCCTAATCAAAGCCCTAATTAATTTCAACAAAATCCCAAAATTATAATTCATCCCTAATTAAACCCTACAATGCTAAATTTTAAATTAAAACTATAATTAAAGATATATAGCAAATGAGAGAATGAGAATAATACTTGTTGTTGATAAAGGAGAGGAGAAGATGTTGTTGCAAAGTTGCCCACCCAAGATAATATAGAAGATGTATCCAATAGAGGGAGAATTTAAAAAAAAAAAAAAAAAAAAAAAAAAAAAAAAAAAAAAAGGGGGGAGAAACTTGCTGCTGCAGTCGGGTAGCAAATAGAGAGAGAGAGAGAGAGAGAGAGAGAGAGAGAGAGAGAGAGAGTCTAATAGCCAAAAGAGAAGGAAAGAGAAGACATGGGACCATCTGGATGGGCAACATATGTGTATGGTTTGCTTTTAATTTTGGGATGAGCTTATAACACATGTAGGTTTTTTTATTTTTTATTATTTATTTTTATTTTATTATATATATTTTATAATAATAATAAAAATTTGGGTTGGGCCGGCACCAAGCCTGCCCTGTGCATTGCACCGCCCATGATTTCAACGGAGAAGTCTCTCTTGAAGGTCTTCTTTGGGGGGTGCATGCCTCCAAGTTACCGTCTAACGCATGACCCTTCTATGACGGCAAGCTTTGTGACGACGGAAGCGCAAATTAAGAGAAACGAGTTAGGGTTTACGAGTGTTTAAGAAATCTGAAAAGTAGAATGTTGAGGGAGATTTAGAGAGATGAAGAAGATTCAGAGGATTGAGGAGAAGTTTAAAAACGAGGGAGAGAGATGTTTTCGAGCCATTGGGAAGAAATATGAAATTTTAGGTCGAGGGCGATCTCACTTAAGCCGCAACTTTTGTTTAGCGTTCTTTAAAAGACAACGCTTGTTAAATGTCAACCCAACACAGCTTGATTTTAGTAGTGTTTAAGATGCTAACCCACGACGGTTAAAACCGTCGCCTTTTGAAACACGACGATGGCTTTTAAGAGCACCGTCGTCTTTTTTGTGTCATCGTTTAGCTATATTGTAGTAGTGTACTGTCACTTTCTTTCCTATAGCTCATCTTAATTTCTTCTGTGTTAATCTCTTATATTATATTTCTCTCAAACCTCACACCAAAAATACCTTGGGTTCAATAGGATTTTACAAGCTTGTTTTCCTTGTTGGGAAAATTTTAGAAATACTCTCTGTATTATCCTGGATTTCTTTGTAAATAAAAACTAATAATTTCCCTTCCATTTTCGTTCATTCTTTGTTTGTCCTTTGTTGGGCGGACGGATTAAGAGGATTTTTGGATTTTTTGTCTAGTAAATATCCTAAATACTTCCTACAGTTAAAGCATTTAGGCTATAGTTTTAAATAAAAATTGTTGAGTTGAGGATTTGGAGTACTTTAGGTTGGAATTGGTTGTTGCATATAAACTTTTGATTTTATAAATAGGGAATACTTGGTAAGCGAGATGTTTGGCATGTAATTTAAATAAATGCTATCATGTTTGGTATCAATTTTCTCATTTGAACTGAACATAAAACCATCCTCTTGTGCCCTAAAGAGCTAGGGGAAATTTGGAACAACTTGTAAGAAGCAAGAGAACAAGTAGCTGAAGATGAGCCAAGCTGATCAAGGGAACAACAACATTCCGGTGCAGCGCAAGCGTGGTCGTCCACGGAAACATCCTCAGCCAAAGAACTCAGGGCACAATGCTGCAAGTATTGGCATTAATAGTCCTCCACCAACAGCCCCTCCTGGATTTGAAAGAAGGGTTGTACGTACAACTGATGTGAGGGTGGGATCAGTGGTCTGCGGTTTCATTGATGCAGAATTTGATGGAGGGTATATGCTCACAGTTAGGGGTGATAACTTTCATACCACTTTAAAGGGTGTTTTGTACAAGCCTGGATCTTACCCTCATGTCTCAGCAGAGAATGGTGTGGGCCTTGGTGATCCAATGATAAGAAGAAATGAAGTTCCAGATGTTCATGGTTCATCAACTTGTGTTCCATCAGCTCCTCCTCCTCTTCCTCCTCCATCAAATGGATCAACGGTAAAAAACAAGGCAGAGAAAATAATGAAGTTGCTACTTGGGTTAATCAACCCTCCACAGAGGCACTGCTTCAGGCAGAAGCCAGATCCATGATACTGCCTGAGATGCCTTTTGAAGAATTGGTTAGTGAGGTAGTCAAGAGAATTCATGATCCTTCATAAGGCCCCGTCATCATCAGCTGATGTGGTAGTATCAAACAATTCTATGTAGAAGAGGGTTGTGTTTTTCTTAAATTAATAGGTTCAGGATAGTGGATAACTTCTTGTACAGAGAGAGAGAGAGAGAGAGAGAGAGAGAGAGAGAGAGAGAGAAGCTTATGGTTGTTTTCTTAAACTAGGAACCGAGGAAGATGTGTTTTACCCATTTATAGTTTATTTGATCGCATAACTTGTTGGATATGTCTCATCTCATATCTTTTAATTACGGTCTTTTGAATGTGTATCAACTAATGAACAAAACTTAAGTGGACACCAGGGTGTGCCTCCAAGTACACTCTTTGGTCATCATGAAACAATTAAATTTTGACACATGTGATGTTGTCTCTGGATCCCTTCGTATTTGCATTAACTTTTTGCAGTTTGTATATTGACCCTTAGGACTATTGTATTTGTATGTAGCCTTATGATTTACCATCGTTATGAGTGAATTATGAATGCAATATTTTGACTTTGGCAAAATAATTTTACCAAAAAAGAAGTCTTTCAGGTGTGTCAGTGAGAGTATGAGAGAAATGAAGGCGAGTTTCCTTTTTCTTTTTTTTTCTTTTTTTCATATTAAACAAAATTAAAATTAAAAACAAAATCAAATAATAAATTATACTTTTATGGAACATAACTACCCATATTATCTTTTCTTAATTCTAAAAATAAGATAAAAAAGGAAACCAATTGGCACATGCGTGAGAGGCTAGTGTATTATTAAAATTTTGTAAAAAAATGTGTATTAAACGTGAAGAATACATATATACATGTATTGTTTGTTTAATTTTAAAAAACGTGTATTTTACCAAGTCTTTTAGAGATATACGAAAAACAAAAGTATTTTTTAAAAATACATATAAGTATAATACAAGTATTATATGGGGAAATGCTAACTAGGGTAGAGTAGTATAAAATACAAAGACACTCCCAACCATACTGTATTATAAGAACATTAACTAATGAGACCATGAGCTTTAGCACTGTTGAAAGAAAACCTCCTTCCCCCTTTGATTAAAAATAAACAAAAACCCAAAAGAAAAGTCAATCAGTAACTTCTTTTCCTCAAAGCAGAAAAAAAAAGGAACAAATAACAAAGAGACAGGATTTAGGAAAACAAAAAGATCAACTATGGTTGATCTCGTATCAAAAGGTCCAATAGAGATAAAAATAAAAGCATCTCCACTGCTTAATGTAAAACTTCCGGGCAATCAGTTGGAACATATAAACATCAGGGAATACAACATTTTAAAATCAAACGAATCATGTATCGAAAAAACAGTCAATCGAATCAATGTATCTCTTGTTCAAATACTTTACATGTTACTCTATTGACAAAATTATTCAAGGAAAAGCATGAAACCCACTCCCTTTTTGTAGAAGACAAGATCCCTACATATTTCAAAAAACAATGAAGGCTACACGCCCTTTAACCAGGTTTGACAGAAACCCTTGTGCAAAAGTTGTACGACTTTTATGTATGGAAAAAACACAGCGAGTGAATACAGGTTGACTGGACTCTTGTCCAGTAAAAGAATTTAAGGCCAAAATTTTCTAGAATTATAATATATAAGGATGGGGAAAAGAACCCCTAGCTGAGGTGACTAGTGAAAGAAACCGATATTCACCCAAACTTAGGATCAACAAGATCATTAGATCCTGGGACTTAAATGAGACAATTAGAAGGGAAGGGAGGTTGCAAAAAGGGGATGTGTCTTGGCAATGGGGAAAGGCTGCTGTCCAGTAGCCATGAACGGCGGAGGCACACACAGCTGAAAAGCTTGGGCCGCTGCAGGTCCTGCATTAAATAAGGGAAAAAAAGCAAAAATTACCCAAAGAAAGATTCAAAATGTGGAAGAAATTCAGACCTGCTGTCATTTGAAATTTAAATGGTGAAAGTTACATTAGCATCCATGAACATGACACGAAAAGAATTCGTGAAAAAAGCTATAATTTTGTTCCTCAGGGTTTCCCTCAGCAAATAATTCACATTCAAGAATTGTTTTAACATAGAAATTTTTTTTTGGAGCAGAAACAGAAAATACCACGCAAAATAATACAGATGCTCATTAACTTTTCCATTTTCATTGTCAAATGAAGATTCGTTGGGAACATAATAACTTAGCCCATACCTTGGTGCTTTGGAAACTGGACCTGATGTGGGGTCAACACAGGACGAGCGGGCAGTGGTGACATAGCCGTTGCACCCTGAACCAAATCCTTCAATATAAGATAAAAGGAGATCAATAAATTTGAAATAAATGATACAAAAATCATTACCACCACAAGTCTTCTTACTATTTACTTTTATTGTTATCACATTTCGAAGGAATATTATTATCATTTTTGTGGTTGTTACTGTTACTACAATACCCATTATTTGTACTCGGCGATAAAAAATATTCTTTTTTATTTCAAAAATAATATGACGGGGCTCATGGCACATAGACAGAAATCAGAATAACTCGAGTAGAATGTATCAACAGGTGCGTCCTGCTACACCCCACAAGTGGACTAAAAATGAATATTTCTTGACCACTGAATAATTAACATACCCTGTAGAGCATCAACTTCAGTATATACTGTAATACTATTTTTAGCCAAATACAACTCAGTGCAAATCTCAACAAGCATCCAGGTACCACTTCAAACTTAACTAATTAGAAATCATATCATAAGTGAGCTTCAATCATAGGACCATGAAGTATCTTACTTGAGAAACTGGATGCATGTATACAACCTGCCCGAACCGTCCAACCATAACCTAGACAAAGGGGAGAGGGTTTAGTAAATCAGCAAAATAGAGTAAAAGATTTATCCTGATCCTAAACCACCGAAAATAAGTTGACACAAAGATGGCATTAATGTCGTTCAATTACTTACAGCTTGAGAATTTGGATGCACATAGGTAGGTCCAGCCTGAACAGGATACCTAAGCGTCTGCACCCTGCTTCCCACGTGTCCAACAATCTATATCCAGAAAGGCAACCAAAAATGAATCCGAAAGTTCCACAACACCTCTCTCTTATATATTGTGTATTATATACAATGTTAATGCATTATAACAAGGCACATACCATGCTCTATTCCTGTGTTATTTTAACCATTGGATTTTAATTCTAGGACTTATATGTATCTCATTGAGATACCAAATGTTATCAGTCTAAAAACTCCTATATGTAAAATCTTCATTTCCTACTCACAGGTTAACACAAAAATCAATGTTGACCAACCATTGGACAAAAAACAACGCAATATTCAAATCCCTACAAAGCATTTTATATCTTAAACAAATGTAAGCTATTGGATTTTGACCTAGTGATTAGTGATAAGAGGTTTTTGCGTTCACTAGTGAGTAGAAAAGATCATGACTACACACACGCATGCAATTTTTATCTCAAACTCATTAATAAGAACAAAATCTATGTTCACCAGTGAGTAAGAAATCATCACCGTGGGTGTGTGTGTGAGTGTGTGTGCATATGTACATTGTATATGGGCAGACAAGCACTGGTAAGGAGCTAAATTAAATAGTCAATCTTGGGCCGTAAGATCACTTTCCAAGGCTAAGGTTAAAACACTTGTAATTCAAGTTGTCTGAATGCTTTATCTCCTTATTTTAGATTCAAGTTGTCTTGAATCTAACGGTCCAGGATTGACTACTTACTTTATCTCCTTATTTTAGTTACTAAACAATATTTACATAATCAACTCTACAAGTGTTTAAAACGCTAACTCTGCTACACTAACGCTGCTAGTAGTTATAAGCAGAGCTTTCACTAAAAGTCAAATTTCATATAATAACATCAACATGAATTCTGTATTCTATGATACATTCATATAGTCATCAATCCCCTATTCACAAACTACTGGAACAAAATCTAACTGCTGATATTCAAATCAAAGAGAAGTTATTGGTATACAATTTTATGTCCACCAGTGAGTAGGCTGAAGTGCACACACCCCCATTACACACACACACACACACACACACACACACACATATATAGTTGTTGTATAATACGGTTAACCGCACTTGCGAATGACAAGTTTTGTGTCTGGCCAGTCACCGCTCACAAAACTGGTTATCCGAAACTGCAGTTAATCATATCATACAAAGACTGTACAATATAGATTGTATCATATAACAACCCGCATATGAATTTAGAAATGCCTATGGTACATACAGGTTGTGAAAATTGAGAACCACTGCCACCATGTCCATTGGTGAAATTATTGTACGGGACCACCTTAACAGGCACAGATGAACGAGATGGGAAAGGATTTGATCCGACTTCTGGCTGAGCAGCAGGAACAGCTACCACAGGGGAGTTGTTTGGTATATAACCCATGCTCACCACTGTTGGCACCAAAGGAGGGGTTGATGTTATGGGCTTTGTAAAAGATGGAGAGAATGTTTTTGCTCCTGGGTTGAGCTTAAATTCCTAAAAAGGAATACCAAAGAAAAAGGTTATCAACTTGACTATGTAATTAGGAAACACATCATCAACTTTAAAAAATTTATTAACGCCACCTCATAATATACTAGAGTAGTTGCACTTGGGATCACCAAGCATTAAGTTTCCTTAGTATTAGGACGCTAAACCCATAATCTATTAGAACACAATTACCAGCAGATTTCAACATAAGCTTCTTAGTGAACCAAGTGACGCATAAATTAGATAGCAATAAGGTGACCAACCAATTCTAAGAGAAGAATATACATACCAATATAAATAAACTAATCATTCAAGTTGAATTTAACATGGTTCGTCCAATTATAGTGTTACCTTGGCACTTCTATTAAATTCTGGACCCTGAGGAGGGACCATTTCAGTTGATGTTGCCACCAAACGTCGACAAGAAGCATCTGCAGCTGGAGTAAATGAAGTTGAGACACCTGAAGAAACAACATCAGAAGAAATGTCTGCTGAAGTTGTCCTTTCACAGCATTGATTGTCTGAATTAATAATTACAGTAACAGGATCACAAGATACTCCGGAAGGCAATCGCTTTGATGTCATCTTTTTATCATTAACTTTATCAGCCTGCAGAAGCATTTTGCACTGATAAATACAACGTATATTAGAATGTGACAGAACAATCTTAGCAGTGGTTATCATTATATACAGTTTCTTCCCTATAAAACTCTGATTTATGTTTGAAATCATTAGGGGTTGATGTTATGCACCTCTTATCAAAGTGGCTTTTCTGCGTATATCTTGAGTGCTAAAGTTGGCCATGTTTTTGTTCTGTTCAATAGAATTGTTCCTTGTTTTCTAAAAATGAAAAACAACCTCTTAAATTCCAAAAGAGATGTGGTCGAGTAAATATATGATGTCAAGTACAAACTAAGGTATAAAGTAGGATAGAACCATGCCTATAGAAAAATTTACCTCTGATAAGTTCATCCCTTCACCTTTCCCATGTTCAACTTCCATGGTATTCCCACCATGTTTCGGTGGCAAATTCCTCCCTTCATGTTCCTTTCCAGCTCCTGTGGAGGTGACGCCATGAGCAAGTCCATTGCCATTTTGCATTGGGCCCCTGCTAATATAAGTAAAGTATGACTACATACTATGCATAAAATCGAATTGAACAGCAATAATTGAGCAACAGATTATACAAGGGTATCCTTTCCCGTAGGAAAAACAGGCAGTAGCCATCTGCCAGTATAATCAGTTTCTATGATGAACAACAACTGAAGATAACATATTTTCAGTTGAAACAGAAAATATGAAAACCTCTTTTATTCTCGAGACTTAGTGCAGATAAGAATCCATACAAGTCCAACACTGAGACAATACCTGACACCGTTCATTTTCTTCTTATTTATGGCAGACTCAATTAGTCCATATAACAATCCATACAAGTCCAAAACTGAAAAAATACCTGACACCGTTCAATTTCTTCTTATTTATGGCAGACTCAATTGGCTTCTTTGCATCATTCTTTATACAAACATCAGAAGGAACAGTACCCGTAACAGCTTCAGTTTCGTCACCAGCCATATTTCCAGCAACATCAGCCGCTGGAAGCAAAACTCCCTGAATGATGCATAAAGAGTCACATTTACCTACAGCAGATTGCTTAAGTTGTTTTCAAAAAATATAAGAGGAATGACATGAACTGCATACCTTAGCAACAACTTGAACAAGGTCACCTGAGAGAATTACTAGAGTGTCAATCAATGTCCCATTTCCTACATTAGCATCACTCTTTCCCTTTTTAGTCATCCTTGCTTTCTTCAGAACAATACCTAAACAACACAAACACCAACTGAATAAATCTCAATCAGAAGTCTGTATGTGAGTGAGTGAGTGACAGAGAGAGGGCCCATTCTAAAGTTTAAAACACACGTCCTGTGTCGATTGCTAATTATACTTCAGGATAATTGAATAAAAGCACATGCACACACAAAAGTAGTGGTTACATAAAGATCCAGTTTTCTCAAATCCAATATATCTCAATGCCTTAGTTCTAGTGTACATTCTCCTATGGTTCACCCTTTCTCAGTGAAAATGAAATCAGAAACACTCAAAAGAAAATCCACAGAAAATGAACTGAAAACCCAACATAACAGTAAAAGCCAGATCAAATACTTCCCATCCATCCCAATCTATAGGATCACCATAACCAGGCAAGCAAAATGTGAACCCAGATACAAATCCCTCAAAATAATAAAACCCAGATACAATACGGCATAATATTAAAAACCCAGAAAGAGTTCTGAGAAATTCGCCATTTTCAAAAACACATTGAAACGGCAACAAAGATCAAGAGAACCCACCGTATTCGTTCTCCACAGAGGCGGTGTAGAATATTCCAGAATAGACAGAGCCGTCCTTGACGTGAACATCGACTGGGAGACCAATGATGCACATGGTGGCAAAAAGCAAGGCCTCACTTAATGAAGAAGAAGAGACAGTCTCTTCGTCTGTGAACTCTCTGTTTCTGCAACCCATGTTTCTTTTTCTCTGCTTTTTCTGATCCAGCCCAATTTCTCTGGCTACAAGTTTCAGTACTTCTGTGTGTGTGTCTACGATTTTGGAGGGTTAATATAGAAGGGGAAGAGATCTGATGAAGCTGGGTGAGGGAATTCGAAAAGGAAAATCACTTTCTTTTCTTGTGCGGCAATGCGCCTCTGTTCCTAAACATTGAACAAGTTCCCTTTTTTGTTTGTTTCTTTTTACTTTTTCCATACGATACATACATGTGATTTTATTTGTTTTTGTTTTTGTTTTTTGTTTTCTCTTTTTTTGATACTAATTCCTTCATTTATTACAAAACCTACACGAAATCAGAACGAGAAACGATCGGAATAAAAGGAGTCGAAGTCAAAATGAAGAATTTTATATATATATGTTAAACATGTCATTGGTGTATATATGTTATTTTTTTCTCAAAGAATTTTATATTGAGAATATACGAATTTCTAATTTCATTACTTATTTATTTTTAATTGATATTAACCTCTTAGCACTCGTTTACATGTACACAAATTGACTTTAAAAAAATGTTAAATTTTTTTTTCTATTGTGATGGAAAATTTTCTAGAGTACACCAATTAGGATACACCTTCACTGCTATTCTTTTTCAAATTGCAATTGTCATCAAACGGGTTTACATCATGATTGCTATCAAAGATAACAAATTCTGTAAGTATGTTCTATTCATGTCATTGTTTTGGTATTAGAGCCTATACGATGAGTTAACAAGTTTACAGACATTTTTCTTGTGACCTTTCACCACAAAATTCTCTTGTTGTTCCATATACGTTTCTCCGTCAAACTCATTATTTAAATTTTTTTATATACATATATTTGGTTCATTTCCAAATTGTAAATGGTATCAAAGAAGTCTAACCATTATTTTTTATACTTGTCTATAGTACAATATGATTTAAATTCCTTTTTAAAAATACATTTATAACTAATAGGTTTGTTACTTGGAGGTACATCAACCAATTTTCATGTGCTATTCTATAAAGTGGATTCAATCTCACTTTGTATTGCTTCCTTCCAATAAGGAGCTTCTAGTGAAGAAATCGTGTCCAACCTTCTTATTGGGGTTTTTCATCCTCTTCCTCTCCTTGGTTCCAAGAGTTGTTCTTGGACACTAGAAGATGCACTATGATCAACATGATTTCCATCATATGTTGCATGACTATCTTGACTATGATCGTATGCTTCTATATATATGTAGTGGATCTATCTTTACCTTATACGAAAAAAAAATATTGACAAAAATTCAAGATGAACATATTTCATAACTAGTGGAAACTAAACACGATGATTGCACGCACTCCAAATTTATGCACTACGAAACAATGTTATTATGACAAAACCATACATGTGCAATCCGCGGTTTTAGGTCCAAGCATTTTACTTATGGAAAGAGGAACCTAAACTTTTGCAAAGTAACCTCACACTTGGAGTGTCTTATATGTGGGTAATCAATGTGTTCCACACTGTAGAATTCTACTTATTCATTAGCCTGCTTTTGTAGAAATTTACTCCACATGACATTTGCAATAAGTTAAGCTTCACCCCACATGTGAGAGCCCTAAACTATTTAATATGGAAATAATCATGTTTTTACTACCCCATTTATGGAGGAGTATATGGTACAATTATATGATGTACAATTTCATGGAAAGAACAAAGTTTTGAAAATTATAAATATGACTTAAACATATTAAGGGTTTCATTTTTGCTTTGCACTTACACACATAACAATTCTTATTGCAACCGTCTTTTCCTCCTGTTGGTGTAAATCCAAGAAATTATTGAATTTCTTAACATTTTAAAAAAATTGCCTTGAAAAGACCTGTTCAGTATCTTACTTAGAATTTAAAAATCATGATTTTATTTTTTATTTTTTAAAACATGAGTTTTTAAATAAGGATTTTAAGATCTAAACTAGTGGCAATTAAGATTATAATTCAGGGTAAAACGGCTGAAAATCCTAAGTTTTAAGGTATTCTTTCCCAACAAGCATTCATCCTTGGTTTCCAAATCAAATCACCCACCAACATAATGGATAGCTTGTAGCTCATCGGGTTTTACCCTTCATATTCAGCGTCCTAATATTAATGTAAAATAAACCTAGCTGCCTAACACAACCCAATTTAACTGATTTAATTGATCTATCTACCGAAAATTAATCATATCACATTGTTTTACTTCAAAAAAGACATCCAGATTTGAGAATATGCACTCTTTTGACTAAGGGCTCGTTTGAGAGTGCTTCTTTAAGAAGCACGTCTACTTATAATCGCTTCTACCAAAAGCACTTTTATTATAAAGACGTTGAAATTTTCGTAAGAAACAGAAGTGCTTCTTGGAAAAGTCATGACAAGTGCTTCTCCAAAAAGCGCTTCTATGGCCTGAAAATGCTTCTAAACATTTCTGTCAAACGTTATCAGAAGCGCTTTTGGCTGTCAAAAAGCGCTTTTAACTATTCTAGAAGCATTCCCAAACAGGCCCTAAGGAAAACAATCCCATGTCCAAACCCCTACTCTGAATTCTTACACGCCAAAAATACAAGGGTGACCAAAAACAACTAACAAACAAGCTTAAAAGAAAGAAATGATGGTGCATACAACACGAATAACTGACTAACATATTAAATTGCAAATGACATATTTAAAGTGCACTGTCTCCCGAATCTCACTCGAGGCAATGAAAGGATGGGGAAGGAGGGAAAAAGAAAGCATGAAGAAAATGACAAAGACAATGTTAAAAGTTGATACTCGACTCCACAACATCATACAACAGTCGTACTAAAACCGCAACCTAAGATGCACCAGAACATGATGATACCCAGCTTCAGCCTCCAGGGCAGGCAGCTACAAATCACTGCAACCATAGAAACAAACTCATGTCATGAACAATCCTAATCCCACTTCATTATAACACACTAGCAAGAACCTCCAATTCTAAATCTCTACAGGGCAAGGAAGCTGAAACTAGTGATAGTTACCTGCTGTTGCTGTTGGTAAGCACCAGGCTGCTGGTAATTTCCATATCCATGATAGCCTCCATAATACAGGTTAGGGTCTTGGGCAGGAGGTGCATATGTATACGCATCATATCCTTGTGGATATCCATAAAATCCACCACCACCGCCGTTCCACTGTGCCTGATCTGGTTGGTTCTGAATCAATCAAACCAGTTAAAAATTATGGTTAGCATGCATACCAGCAAAAAGTCAAAAAATTATAAGGTCACCAATAAAAACCTGTTTGCTTGTAGGACTGCGGCCCCATGAAAGTCTAATACTTTGTCCTCCTAATTGGGTTCCATTCAACGTTCCCAATGCTTGCTCTGCACAAGATCTGAAGATACATGCAGACAACATAAGCATGTACGAGGATTATTTTCTAAGGAGGAAAGAAAAGGAAATTTTTATCTAGACTATAAGGTGCAGAACTGTTACCTATTACCAAATTGAACAAAACCACAACGCTTGCCTACTGGTATCTTCACATGAACTAGCTCACCAAACTGGCTGAAGACTTGCCTCAACATGTCATCATTGACAGAGGGATCCAAACCCCCAACAAATATCTGCACTCAAATGTGTCAGGGGTTACTATCATGCAGAAAGAAATGTACAATGCAACATTAGGACAAACTACCCACTGTTGTATTATTTGGATCAGCCTCGCCTGGATTTCCTTGAGTACTTGGGTAGGAAGCTGCAAATAAAAAACACATAAGCACTAGTATATGTGATGTTAGGAATCTTAGGAATAGTAGCACAGACAATTTTCTGCAGAATGATCTGTATCATCTGGTTAAGCATTGAAGAACTCAGGCATCAATCTTCACCTTGTTATTGTGGTTCTCAAACTTATATTCCCAAAACCACAATCAATTTATCAAAGTAACAACACGTCACTTGGAATTTTGCATGAAATATGACTTCCTTGCAACTTACCCATACATTAAGGATTTCAGATGCACGCATTTCTATTAAGGTTACACACTTTTTATAAATATTTTTTTTTATATCTCCTCCAACTTCATACTGGCAATGTGGCATGGAGGATTTCACTGAACAGCTATGGTAGCATATAACATGATGTGCCACCAACCAACAATAACAAGTGCATTGCCTATTAATTATCTGAAGAGGGTTTTTTTTAAATAAATTTTTTAACAAGAAACTATGGCCATAACAATTATCAAGAGGGCAAAGTACAATCAGATTTGGTTGGATAAAGCAGAAATGAAAACCCTACTAAAGGCATCCTCTGCTCTAACTGTAGATTCTTTCATGGGTTAAAAAAGCAGCAAACTGTAGCTTTTTCTAGGCTCGAAAATGTCCCATACCCTTATATGGACATGTGCAATAAAGACTCATTTTGGGGTTCACACTAAATACTGACATCTGCAATAAAACTTATTTTGGGTTTGAAAGGAAGATCTTTTACCTAAAAAGCTGCAACATATGGCTCCTAAACCTACACTCCAACCTTCAAATCATATTATATTTCCATGCATAAAAAGGTATCATAATAGAACAGAACATCTAACAGCTAATGGGACCAGACATGCATTTGAGTCTATTACACATAACACTATGAAAAATACAGGAAACGTAATAAAATAGAGAACAAAACAAAAGAAGGAACCATAAAAGTAGTGAGTTTACAACCAAAGTACAACTTAAAATGTAACATACTTCAATCATAATAAGATAGATAACCAGAAACAAAAAGATGTAGACAGCTCAATTTCTATACACGAAATTAAATAGGTCACTCAAAAAATTTACAAGCAATAAAACAGATCAAGTACACTTGATCTGATAGGAGTCTAGATGAAGAACTATTTCCAAATCCTGGCCCAGTACAATATTGGGATGCTCACCTTATGACAAATTACTAAGTGTCACTTCTACCTTAAAACAAAAATAAGAGTGGCACCACAAGGTGCAACAAAAGAAAATGTCTTCAAAGATTTGAAGGTATTTTGCATTAAAATGTGAACTACTGCATGGGCTACAACTTATAGTTAGCATTTAATGTAGATTTATATTCTGACTTAAGATGAAGGCTGAAACGTGAAACCACAGAGAGACATGGGCCACAAATTTGGGAACAAATTGCATCCTATCAAACATAGAGAACATTGTGGAACCGATCCACAAAGAAAAAAAACAATGCTTCTTCAAAATAAGCGAAGTATTAAAAGAAGGATATATAAACTTCGGAAATTGGAGTAAATGTAAACCTGACTGGTAAATGGAATAAATGTAAACTCGACTGGAAAATGGAATAAAGTAAACCAGACTGGTAAATGGAATAAATGTAAAGCTGATCGGCAAATGGAATAAATGTAAAGCTGACTGGTAAATGGAATAAATGTAAAGCTGACTGGAAAGGTAATTCTTGAGTAGCATAGCAAATGCCACGAGAAAAGAAGAAGCTTATGACATAAACAAAATAACTGACCTAAAATGAGGCCACGCATTAATGTGGAATCATTTCAGCTGAAATCAGTTCCAGGCCCCCCAAAATGAGAGCCTCTCGGTGTCCTGCTTTAAGACAACATGAGTTCTACATAAGTCTTTGCATGTTTTAACATAATTAAATGCGCCCAAGTTTACAAAGGAAAGTACTCGAAGGAAATGACTAAGTTCCGCCAATCTTCAACTGAATAACTGAAAGGGTGCCAAATTTAGAACACTTCTGACAATTTCACCTCGAAAGTATAAACTAAAAGCCCTACTGCAACTTACCAAACCATGATTAACATAAAGCCCAAAATATTCATAATGTAAAGTAGCAGAACAAACATATAGGAAAAAAGCTAACTACAACCAAGCTGCAGATACAGGTTCAGAAGCTTTGTATAGTTATTACCACAAAGCATGTGCAATATCTAACTAGGAAACATACCTTTCTGGTATTGCTGTCCACCACTAGCTGGTTTCTTAGTAGCAGCAGGGCCAATCCGCATGGGCCTGGTAGAGCAATACTGACCATTCATCTCAGTCATGGCTCGCAATTGCTCACCTTCATCACCAAACCTAACAAAACCATATCCCTTGGAGCGTCCAGTGGTCCTATCAGTGACAACTTTTGCACCCTTAACAGAGTGATAAGCAGCTCTAAATGTCTCTTGAAGGAGGTAATCAGTCACATCAGCAGCCAAATCCCCTACAAAAACTGTAAAATCCGGACCATCATCCTGTCGCCTCTCGCCAGCACCTAGGGTTGCCCAATTCAGTCGGAAATTCTGCTCCGTGTTGGGCATCAGTGTTCCATTGTATTGCTGCAAGATCTGCTCAGCCGCACTGCGAGACCTAAACTCGATAAAGCCATAACCTTCTGGCAACGCCGTCTGCTTATTACGGATAACCTTTGCAGTCACAGCCTACAAACACCTCAAAAGCCACAATGAATACAACATAATGGGATACACGGATCATACAAATAGTCCACACAAAAAGTACCAGAAATATAAATAAACATTTTGGTCGAAACCTGGGCTCAGACATCTAAAGTTAATAGTTTTATTGTAAGTTTTGGTTTATAAAAAAACCCAGTCGGTAAAGTCATTAAAAGTTATGTTCTTTGTTCTTCTTTCAGATCACATCTAGAAACAAGCCCTAAATTCCAAATTTGAAGTACAAAAATATTCATTCACATCCAAGCAGAACACAAAATTGAAAAGCAAATCACATAAAAGTCAAGCCCTAGATATACATGTACACATAAACGCACAAAGTACAGATAATCACATAGGTGCTTGTGTAACTACCTCTCCGGTGGGACCAAAACAGCTAAGGATATAGTTCTCGTCCATCCACGGCAACAAGTCACCGATCCAGAGCGAGCGGATCTCATCGGGGCCAGGATTCTGTGTGGTCGCGTACTGCTGCTGAGGTGCCGGCTGGGCCCACCCAGCCTGTGCCGGAGGGGCTTGGCCCTGCTGCTGCGGCGGCATCATCATCCACTGCTGCGGCGGCTGCTGCTGGTATTGCTGCTGCGGATCTGATGGAATCTGTTGTGGGACCACTCCTCCTGATGGCTGCTGCATCATGGTGAAGAAAGGCGGGTGTTTGGGTACGGGGATAAGGGTGTCCTCGTGGAGGAGGAAGAGGGATTGCGGCGTGGTTTGGGAACAGCGATAACCTTAATCCCGGATTGGGTCTGAGAGAGAGAGGATATTTTCGGGGTGGGAGGGGCTTATATAGGCGAGGGTTGTAGAGTGACACGTGGGGATGGAGGATAGGTTGGGTTGTGAATCTTGTGAAATTGTGATAGGGTGTCTGAATGATAGGCCGGGCCTATTTCAAAATGTGGGCTTGGGCCGGAGCCAACCCCTAATTTCCTAAAACCCTAATTTCCCCAAAACCCCACAAGGAGACCAGACTCTCTCTGTTCTTCAATGGAAGTAGCAAGCTCAGCCTCCGAAGATCAAGGTACGCATCCAATGCATACAAAACTGAGGCTTTTATTTTTATTTTGGTACCCTTTCAGTTTTCTGTTTGTTTGGTTGCCTAGAAAGTGTCTGAATACAAAAGAGAGAACAAATTGGTTGCCTAGATTTGTAATGTTTGTTTTTGAATTGCAGCTATGGTAGTTGAAAATTATGACGATGAGGTTGAGAGAGTGGAGATGCCTAAACCTACGCTTAAAGTGAGCCATGAAGCTAAACTTAAAGAGCTGTTGCATAAGATTAATTCTGTCGAAATTAAATTATGCTCTGACGGTACAAAAGAATTCATTAAGTTGCTGAAAGGGGATTCTGGAGGTGAATTGCTCCATTATTATGTGAAGAATTCAGCCAAGTGCTTGGAGCTTCTGGCTGCTTGGAAGCTCCGACGAGGGAAATCAGGAATGTTTTGTATACTTAAATTAATTTCTGTTATTTTGAGTCATCCTGATGGAATTTATAAACCAAATGATGTTGAGAGGATGGCTATAAGTAGGGCATTGGATAGGTTTGCTCGGTTGCTTATTGAAGAGCAGTTGCAAGATGTGTATAAGGAGTTGAATAGTAAAGAAGCGAAACGCCAGAAGGCGGCACTTCTGCTTTTGGGTTCGATTGTGAGGCGTGGGTCTGGTTTGGCTTCCGAGGTTGCAAAGAATTTTGATTTCAAACTCCAGGGGTTCTCCAAGATGGGTGAGTACAAAAAGAAGCAGAATGAGAGAAGAATGAAGCTGTCGTTGAGAAAGGCGTTTGTGGGGTTTGCAGTGTCATTTCTGGAGGTGGGAACGCCAGGATTGCTGAGGTCGGTTATACGGCAGAAGGAAATGTACTCTGTTGTCCTTCGCAGGCTTGGGAATGATGATGATGAGACTGTTTTGTATGTTTTGTCCACATTGAGGAACAGGATTCTTGTTGAAGAGTCATCAGTTTCCCCAAGTCTTCGAAGTGTTCTCTTTGGGAGTGTTACTTTGGAACAATTAGTCAACATTTGTGGAAGGGAGAATGGTGGCGCATCTGCAGAATTGGCATACAGTGTCTTAGTTATGGTTTGTACCGATCCTTGTAATGGCTTGATGTCAGATTTGAAGAGACGCCTGAGGGGTAATTCAAAGCGACTTGTGGATCTAATGAAGAAACTTAAAGCAACTGAGATTGGGTACCACAGGGATCTGCTTTTGGCTATTGTTAATGGGAGACCGCCTATTGCTGCAGCATATATGGTAGAGTTCCCCTACAACCTTGAGGACTGTGCATCGCCTACCTGGTCAGATTATTTATACCTCTTCATCATATTGTTTAATACTCAATTTTAGCTGGACCTCTATTCCTCTATATTTGCATGGTGACTGAAGCATTTGCAGGTTTTCTGTTGTTACTCTGGCAGCAAACGTGGTTTCTTCCGTGGGAAGCGGGCATCCTTTTGGTTTCCATGATTTTCAGTCTCATGATCAAGCCTTGTTGGACAATGTGGACGTGCAGAGTATCATGAAATGCTTGTATCCCCGTTCGTTCAGCCGGTCCACAATCAATAAGGGACTGCTTCACTCTGATTTTCTAGTGAAGCATGGAACTTTAAGGGTTCTTTTAGAGGCACTGAAATTGCTGGACTCCTTCCTTTGTGTTTTAAACCAAAATGGGAAGTTATATGTTTCAGAGTCTTTCAAGCAAGATTTTCAAAATGAAGTCCGTACCTTGCTCCCTGATCCTCAAGTTTTGTTGACTCTACTTTCTTCTCTGAGTAATCACTCCAAAAATCAACAGTTAAGCTTAAAGAGGACAGCAGAGTTGGAGAAGTTCCCCGAACACAGCCGCAGTAGTGTGAAAAAAATGAAAACAGATATAGAGAACAAGGACGCAGACATTATTATAGGTGGGCTAAATTTTGATGCAGATGTTGCTTTGCCCGAGATTAGTGAAAGAATTGTAGGTACGTCCACAGACAATGGATTGGACAATGAAAAGGATGCTACAAATGTTATGGCGGAAATTTGGGGTTTGGATCTTCACTCCACATCTCTAACGACACTTAAGGATGCAGAGATATACTTCCACTGTAGGCTGCTTGATGCTTTGAAAATTTATCTTGTAAGTTTAATTTTTCCTAGTCTTATTTTCTCTTGGATCTTTTATTGAGGCCTTATGGGGCATAAAAAACGCAGGGTTAGATACTTATGCCTGATATTTTTTTATTTGGCCAAGGTAGGGATCACTGTTGCTTTTTGGTTAAAAAAAAATGCTGATTTGGCATATTGGATTTGCTGTGTGAGGGATGTGATTTTCTAGCACTATCAGGCCTTTAGGGAATACATCTATTGTGTTTTGATGCTTTCAAGTCAAGGCTTGTCTTAATCCCTCGAGGGAAAACGTTTCTCATGCATAATAAATCTAGTAACGTAGGGTGCATCCTTACTACAAAGGATAACTCATTTGCCTCATTCTTTGGAACTTAGTATACGCCTGAATGTATGTATTTCTTTGTTTGGTAACAGTCTGAAAGCATATGCTCCTATGTAGTTGTTGCTTACAATGTTCTTTTAATTCTTTTATCGCAGCGGATAATGCCCACTGTCTTGGAGGGATCATTTGAGTTTTTTATGAATCTCCTAAGCAGTCCTTCAGCATCACAAACTGATCTGCAGCGCTCTCTTTTGTCTTTGCTAGTAGAATTCGTTGGGTGGTCTCCAAGTAGTAGAATTCCAATTAGGACTCCACCACTGATGTACAAACATCTTTTGGCATTCATGAACTTGCTAGTTTTTTCACAAATCAGTGACATAAAGGATCAAGCATATCGTCTTGCGCAAGCGGCTATGTTAAGTACTGGTGCTTTTGACACAAACCAACATGAAATTGCATCATGGTTCTTGTTTTTACCGGGTTTTGATAGAGAAAAATCTTCTGTTCAAGTCCTCGGCTTGGATGTATTACAGAGCTTGTGTCATGTTGTCAACTCATTCTTATGTGATGCCTTTTCTACTACTGGGAATAATTTGTTCAAATACTGGGAGATTGTTAAGCGTTATACCCGCCCTTTGGAAATAAATAAAGGTAACTGTTATTCATCGAATTTGTACAATTTTAGCATTGGTACATCTTTATTTTCTTTTTTTGGTGGTGGCGGATTAATTGATACTTGCCAAGTTTGCTTGTTAGGCACTAATCATATCTGGCATGCTCAGTTAAGATGTGGCGTGGAAAATTTTAAATGATAAAACCTTTTACAGTTCTTTATGGGTAGGGCCATGCAATGAATGAGTGAATGAGTTGTGATGTTACAAATTTTCTTTTTTACAGGTCTTTGCAGGTTTGATTTTTGACTTTTAAATGGATTAGATATAAAGTTAATTGATTAGAGGAGGCATGATCTGTTACACAAGTTTCATGTACTGTTGTGGGATAGTAAGGGAAAGAAGTATGTTAATGTCCTCATTTCTGATGAATTAGATTTATGGTAGTGGTGCTTGAGCAAGTAAGTTGCATATGATGTGTTGAAGTAGACCTGGAAACGAGTTGCGTTTTTGCAGGATTGTGTTGTGTCATGTGAAAATTAGCCAAAACTGAGCTTGACCGTAAGTGAACTGGTGGAAAAATGCAAACACAAACACAATATACAAAAATAATGGGTAACACGCACATGAAATACTAATGTTTAAACATTATACACCAAATGTTAAACTCATCTTAAAATAACAGTATTCTTGATGGGTTAAAACAGGTTTCTCAGGTTGACGCGAAACTTAGTGGGTGGCTAATGGATCCGCCTGTTTTCCAATACAACCCTTTAAGCTTCAGCTTTAACGCTAAATTTTTCTTGCAGGTTCATGTGGTGTGTTGTGTACAATTTTGCCTAGTGTAATAATTTTAAGTTGTCCAATAATTTCTTCACCTTACTTTTTCTATTGAAATCAGTGTGTAGTTTTAAATTCGTTTAATATGCTTTTCAATTGTGCTATTATTCAGGAATAAATCTTGTTTTTAAGATGAAAGTGGTCCTAATGTATCCTTTCCTTCAACTGTGTGAAAGGCTATTTCTTCATGCTGAATTTTCCTTTGTTTGTCTTGCAGAAGTGAATCCTCATTTCAGTCCTCTCAGCATATGTGTGCTGCAGAAGTGTCTAAGGTTGATCGATTCTGGATCTGGATCCTTTACAATGCATGAGAAGTCAATGGTATCAACATATGTATGCAGCACACTGAAATATCTTTTGCAAACTCAGGTACACATTTTCTATTTTTTAGCTTAGAATTGAATGCTTTTTGAACACAATCTAATATGAAGATCAATTTTGATAGGTTGATGCAGTATTGTTGTCTTCTTTGATTTGTTCAGTCTTGGCTGAGAGGCTTGGTGACTGTTCTGTCATTGATGATTCTGGGGTAAACATCTGTGAGTGGAGGCCTTTAAACGATTTACTTCTCTTTTCGAAGAGTATATCTGATCAGAAAACTTGTGGTATTTTTTCTATTCCCAATAAGGCTATGCCTGATGGTAGTTCTTTAGCAACTGCACTTGAGGAAGTTAAAAGATTTGAAAAGAGTAGGGATGATAGTGAAGTAGCTGGAATCACCAAAGCCTTTTCTTTCTCAATTCTCTGTACTATGTCTGA